CCGCCGCACATTTAAGCTGTCCCAAACGGGGCCTTCTTCTAGTGTCTTTCCATTAACAAATTCCCGCTTCCTCCATGCAATATATGCTCCATTGATCCCCCAACCTTATGGAAAATTAATTCTTCTAATTTGTATTTAATATAACAGAGCACCACCTCCCTAATGGAAATTTACAAGTTTAAACTCAGTGAAAATACTAAGCAAATAAATGAAATAAAAAATGAAACTGGTTCCGATGACTACCCTAAATGCAAAAAGGTAGAATTCTACTCTAAGCAAAATGATGGATATTTTTTTAATATTTTTTATTGGTCAATTGAGGAGCACTGATCATGAAATGAGATCTATGTTAAGTTTGATCTCTATCAAGGTAGATAACTTAAGTGGTAAACTAGTCAAAATATCTTGAAATTCCTTCTAAAGAGGATTGCACTACATCACGTATTAGCTCTCTTATCTTGCTTCCTTCTAAAGTCATCAATGTTATTCCCAATGGCACCTCTCTCATAACATGCAAAAACGAAATATGGGGTTCTATAGCCTTGATCTCCAAATGATCAATCAACACATTGGAATCCTTCTAAAGTATAAGTATAATGCACTTCTCGCCCTTGATAAACAAGTAGATATTTTTGTCGCCATCATGAAGTATGTTCCTAGCATAATGCCAAGGTGGACCTAACAAAATATGAGAACCATCCTATTGTAAGGCATCAAATCACACCTGCTCTAGAAGTTTGTCTCTTATAGAATACTCCACCAAATAACTCTTTATTCTTAACACTAATCTCATTCAATTTATTCAACCAAGTTAGAGTGTGTTGCGAATATTTTTGAGTAGTGAAGCTAAATTTGCCTACAATTTGGGTAGACATTAAATTCTCACGACTGCTTCTATCAATGATGGATATGAAAAATATAGTTCCAAAGCCAATGCTGCTTTCACTTAGGCACAATTTGGAGAAATTGCTGATCATTAATATCTCTCCATTATTGATGAAGAGCAGATACTCATCCTCATTCAAATCTTCCCATAAATCTTCACGATCTACTTCTTCAAAAGCCCCCATACTCAATGAAAAAAAAACACTCTTATGTTTGAGCAATTGAAGGCAAAATGTTCTTAGCATCATTTTCTAGCATGAAGTCTTAGATGTTTTGTTTGATCATCTGTTTCCCCACCTTGGACTGATTTCTCCTCGAGTGAGGTGGATTTTGTTCTTCCAAAAGCCGTGTTCTTGCTAACCGATCTCAGGGCCAAACCCAACCTGAAAGGTAGGGCAGCCCTGATGTTATTGTGTCGTTTCTCCACCTTCAAGGCTAATGTTTCCACATCATGTGAAGACCAATATAGATGTAACCGAACCATGTTGCCAATAAATGGTCTCAAACTTTCATAATACCATGTCACAATATTCTCCTAAGGTTCCACCAGCTCATATTTCAGTATGAGTTATTCAAAATTATTTTTTTTAGATAGAAGACAACATGCCAATACTCTGTTGAATAGTTCTTACCCCTTCATCCTATATCACATTACAATCTTGTTATTCCTTTGCATTATCCACTTCAAATTTCCCACCATAGAAAAACACTCTTTTTGAGCTTGATAACTGCTAACTTGACTTTTATATTGTGTGGATGTTTTTTATAATCAAAGCTTTGTTTAACAACTTTGGGCTATTTAATGAAGTCATTCAGATCCAAAGTGCCATTAAAACCTAGTAACCCAATCTTCACCCTAAATTCATGCTCTCTTCGCTCAGTAGCAAATCAAATGAGGCATTGGTTTCTCATCACTAGAGGCTTTTAGGTAAAAGAAATTTTCTGCATCTTTCGTATTTGGTACGACATCTTCATGGCTATTCGTAAATTCTCTATGGTTCCTTACCTTCAAATTTAGTGAGTCTGCATTGAAATTGAAAAATTTCTCATTGTACATCCTCCATGATAAGCTCTTCAACACATATTTGATAATTCCTCCTTAAGGACATCGTCGTTTCTTCACAAATAAGCTTTTGGCCCTGATTTGGGTATTGGAATTTTGTAGGCAAAGGTACAAGAAGATAGAAGATTCAACAGGCGAGGTTTTAATTTTCGGGTGGAGGGAGGATTGTAGGCAATTGAGTTAGGGTATGTAGATTTGTTGGGGATACCTGATATTTAAGATACCCGATATTTAAGATTATTTATGCAGGTTAGTTGGAAAACTGACAAGCCTCGCGCTCAATTCTTTATAGAGTAGATCTTCTGCGCGGGCAAAGTTAGAACTCCCAGCTTTGATCCATTCCGACACATCGCTGGATCGTTATAAGAATAAGGCAACCAAATTATAATATATAGAGATATGAGGCCCAAAATTGGGAGTCCTCGTGCACGTCTTAGAACCCCGTTGAAACGTTTCAATGTGTTTGTTGTCATTGTGGCAAATCGAGATCCACTATCATGTGTTTAAGACTATTTCATGATATCTTGCTCAATTAACCATTTGTAGGCCTCCTTCTTAATTGTTTAATATATTCATGTGCCTATTAAAGATCTTGAGATCATCAGTATTACCCACCCATGAGTTCATCAGACACTATCTAGGTCCCCTATTGCAAGACGACTTAATGTCTTCTTAAAAGTTTTCTTGTAGACGATGCAAGTAGCGCCGATGTGCAAATCATAGGAAAATCTATTTGCAGCCACAAACCAAACATGCGTGCCTGAAATACATAAATCTTGATGGGTCCAGAAGACTTCCAACAAAGCGTAGAGTTGTTGTAGAAACCATACCCGAACTTGCTATTCTTAGACTCCATTTATATTTTCCTAGACGGAATGTCCCAAATACTAAGCACGGGTCGATAAAATCTCCACCCACATATACTGGGGTCAACTGCCCATAAGATAATATGGAAACTGGTATTATTTTTAATTTAATTTTATATACTTTGTCTGGTATTGCGCTGTGTATTGCTTCCATAAATCGAAATAGAAGCAATATGACTCCTCAAAACTGCAAAAAATTGATTTTATTGCTTTTCTACGTGCATTCCATGCTTTGATGTAACTAACACGACCATTAAATTTGGTCTTCATACGGACAACCATTTCCTTCGGTTTTTAGGTCCAGTTGTTGCCTTAAAATTGAATCGGCGTAGTGCATATAAACTTCGAAGTGCAGTTTCGGAGTTTAGTTGCCATTATTAACATTATTGGATGACTACATGTATGGTCTGTCCCAAGTACTGATATTTTTCACATACCTTCCAATCGCTGACTTTTCGCAGCATATAGACGCCACTGACACATACAAGATTCATGATTGGAATATACACACTGAACTGTATGTCTTTTTTTTATTTGAAGTTGTTTTCATGTACTCTACGTCATTAATTATCGACAATCCATTCAAGACACATTTTAGCGCATCCTGACTTGAAAATACGCTTCCCTCATATAATACATCCGGAATGATAACATCTCCATGTAAGGGCACTTGAGTTATGAGAGCATCATAATCTTCAACTGTATCCCATTCTTTGGTACTTCAAATTGGCCTCACAAATTGATTGGTCTCTACCATTGACTCTAGTATCTCAGTATTTAGCACTATGTATTGGCACAATAAATCGTGCCCTGGTAAAACAGTATTTGGCTCACCATCTCGCACACTATAGTCCACGTTTTCCTCTGGCTCGCTCGAATTTTCACTGGTATCACTATTCATTGTTTCATATCTACATGTGTAAGCATCTAAGTGCATACTCTGTGACTATCGCTGCGTGCCTGGCTCAACATGTCTGCTAACATGAGAGTGGAATGAATGTAATAAGTCAAATGATCAACGTGCACTATAATTGTCCACTGGTTGGTTTAAGTATAATATATAACCCGATGACAAATGTATTAAGAGAAATTGGAGTTGGCCTTCAAAGTTGAAGTCATAAAGTTTAAGAAGCTTACGGTAGTTACCTCTAATTGTTATATCAAATTAGTATATGTAATTTTGTTTACCTATAAATTTCAGAAACATTTTCTGAAGCGTGTGAAAGACCGACAACATTTGAAGGAGCAGCGATGTTAGAAGCATCAACAGGCAAGGGCTAAGCCTCCACATAAATAACTATTATTTGTTTTGTGGCTTCTAACAACATAAACT